CCTATGAATGACGCGATAGTCGATAGTACGATGGTGAAAACGCGAAATAACGAAACTACGATGGTGAAAATGCGAAAGTACGATGATGAAAACGCGAAAGTACGATGATGAAAACGCGACAGTACGATACTACGATGATGAAAACGCGATAAACTATCGTGTTTTCACCATCGTACTGTCGCGTTTTCACCATCGTAATTTCGTGATTTCGAGTTTTCATCATCGTACTGTCGTGTTTTCATCATCGTGCTATCGCGTTTTCACCATCGTACTATCGCGTTTTCATCATCGTACTGTCGTGTTTTCATCATCGTACTATCGCGTTTTCACCATCGTACTGTCGTGTTTTCATCATCGTACTATCGCGTTTTCATCATCGTACTTTCGCGTTTTCATCATCGTACTATCGTGTTTTCACCATCGTAGTTTCGTGATTTCGTGTTTTCACCATCGTACTATCGACTTTCGCGTTTCAGATTAACACATTGATAGGCGATGGCCCTAACGGCATTCCGGAATGCCGTTAGGGCCATCGCCTATGAATGGTTTGATCTGAAACGCGATACTCGACAGTACGATGATGAAAACGCGAAATCACGAAACTACGATGGTGAAAACGCGACAGTACGATGGTGAAAACACGAAAGTTTATCGCGTTTTCATCATCGTAGTATCGTACTGTCGCGTTTTCATCATCGTACTATCGCGTTTTCATCATCGTACTTTCGCGTTTTCACCATCGTAGTTTCGTGATTTCGCGTTTTCACCATCGTACTATCGACTATCGCGTTTCAGATCAACACATTCATAGGCGATGGCCCTAACGGCATTCCGTATTTTGTTCAAGCTACATTTCATTTAAAATTAACAACGGAATAGCCACTTATCGCAAAAATCAGGAAAAGTAAGCAAAATTTAGACAATTGGCATTGAAGGTCAAGGTCATTTATAAATGAAGAACTTGTTTGCAGTGTCAAAAGATATGAAAATTGTCCAATAATTTTTCGTTTATGAATTCATTTAGTGTTTAAATATCAACTCCAACCTTATAGACAGGACTGATTTTAAGAAAATATGAATGCTAGAGGCATTTAATAGTACAAGTAATATCTTGAGTGTTTTAACCTAATATGGGTATGCTGAAAATGATGAGGGTGGATACCAAGAAAATAAAATTGACATTGACCTTCAAAAGGTCAATTCAAAATGGCCGCTTAAAAATACTAAAATAGGTCATTAAAACTATGATACAATTAATTATTCTTGTCAAAATCAAATGATTATTCAATATGACCAGATTTTAATGAGATTGGCCACCAAATATAAGGATTATAAGCCTAATGGCTCAATTAATAGTTATATACAGTACTGTTTTAAAGCGTGTTAATGTATATGGCTTAGATTGGAAAAAAAACACTTTAAATTTATGTTTTGTTAACTTGACTTATATTTAACAATAAACTTAGTTTTAAATCCGTCTTTATATGTACCAAAGAATAAATATTTCGTAATAACAAAATAGTATTTCGTAATTACGGAATAATATTTCGTAATAACGAATCAATATTTCGTAATTTAGATTTTATATTTCGTTAAAACGAAATAATATTTCTAATTGGGAATTATTATCTCGTAAAATCGAATTCGATTCCGGGAGAAAGTGTGGAAAATGTCACTTCATATGTTCCGTAATTTTCAACATTATATGTAGCTATGATTTTTTAATTTGTTCATTTTGTATTCATATATTGAAATTAATATTAAAATATTATTTTGAAATATCAAAAAAATGTCATTTCAATGCCATAAATACAACACAAACCGAGACAAAAAGTGTTTTAAAATATATACTGCAACCACACACACCCCTCCCAAAAATAAAAAAAAAATAAAAATAGGTCTTTAAAAAAGGCAACAGTAGGAATCGAACCATAGACCTCTCACACATCAGTCAATCACTTTACTTTTCCCCAGAAACTAACTAAAAACATAATAATTACATAATTGCACGTATTTAAAAAAAAATGAATTAAGGCAGTACACAATTCTAAGAATATAAGCTCCTACTTAAAACATTATCAGGATCAAAAACTTCTTTTGTAACCCAAATATCTACGACATTATGGCTCTATCTCAATCTATGAAAGTAGTTTTCTGTCTATTTTCTGTACCTGTTTATATATAAAAATGTATAAATTGAGTGTTGAGCAAACTAGGTAAAAAATGTCCAACTTACAAATTTACAAATCCTACTTTTTAAATGGTTACAACAACATTTCTGTCCCATTCTTTTATAAAATGTGTCACTTGCTGAAATGTTGAACTTAATAAAGAACCGTTTTCAGCATTTGTGAACATTACACATGTATGCTGCATGTAAGTTTTTTGTGTGTTGTTTTGTTTGTATTTGCTGTTTTCTGCCGAAAATAATATCTGCATAATTCATTTATACCTGCATTAAGGTATACGATGGATAATCGATAATATTAAAAAGTCATCTTAAACTTAGAAGTGTATCTTAACGAAAATACAGAAAACAACAAATGTTTACCATCTTGTTTAAAAATAAGTGGCGATTTAATTTGAAATTTAAAGTTAAAGCAAAAACAACAACAACAGCAATAATAACAACAGCATATTTTCATCAAGTCATAAAATGTCTGAAACCGGGAGATTGCTACGTGTGCTTGCTTTACCATGGCAGCTCTCGAAAATTTTGGAATTCAGTCATGATTTGATATACATTAGAATTCCGGTACCCTCGAATAAATTTCCAGGATATCTTAAAGTTACAGCAAAGTTATCTATAAAAATATTACTTGTAATAAATCGAGTAATATTTTCTTTGACCATCTATAAAGTCACGTGGGTTGGCTACATAATAGAGGTGTCAAAATATAATTGTAATATACCCTTTGTTAGCCATTGAAATAGTATTTAATGTATAAAATACTTTCAAAAATGGTTATTATTCAGAGCGGGCGCTATGGTGCAGTGGTAACACTGTCTGCCTACAAATCAAGGGGTCGTGAGTTCGATCCCCCGCTACTCCACTGACCGAATAAACGACTACAAGACTGACAAAACCAGGACATCGACACAGAATGACGACAACGATAGATACAAGAGAAGACCTTAACGGATCAGGAAATAAGTACCGAAAGTACAAGACCGAAGACGACGACCGATAACAGAAGGAAGAACGGAGACAAGAACTGACAACAAGCGAACAGACAAGGACCGCTAACAGAAGAACGGAGACGAGGACCGAAAACAGAAAAACAGAGACAGGGATCGATAACAGAAGAACTGACAACAAACGAACAGACAATAACCGATAACAGAAGCACAAAGACAGTGACCGATAACAGAAGAACTGACAACGAACAGACAAGGACCACTAACAAAAGAACAGAGACAGGGACCAATAACAGAAGAACTAACAACAAACAAACAGACAATAACCGATAACAGAAGAACAGAGACACTGACCGATAACAGAAGAACTGACAACAAACGAACAGACAATAACCGCTTACAGTAGAAAACAAAGGCAGGGACCGATAACAGAATAACTGGCAACAAACAAACAGGGACCGATAACAGAAGAACAGGACAGGAACCGATAACAGAAAAACTGACAACAGAGACAGGGACCGATAACAGAAAAACTGACAACAAGCGAACACAGAACAGACAGGGACCGATAACAAAGAACTGACAACAAACGAACAGACAATAACCGATAACAGAAGAACAGAGACAGGGACCGATAATAGAAGAACTGACCACAAACGAGCAGAGACACCAGAACTGACAACAAGACAACGGATACGAAGATTTATAACAGAAAAATAGAGACGAGGACCGACCGATAACAGAGACAGAAGAATTGACAACAGAAACGAGGACCAGGACAGATTACAGAAGAATGAAGATCACTACCAATAACAGAAGAACCTTATAACAAAAGAACTGCGACGAGGACCAATAACAGAAGAACGAAGACGACGACCGACGACCGATAACAGGAAAATGAACACCAACATCCAATAGTAATCAGAGAAAGGTGCCTTTAATAGGAATCTGAGTAGCCACTCAATATGCTTGCATAGAGTGCCAGATAAAATACATGAAAGCTCTAGTGTAATGTTCGCTGCATAAATGCCTTAAAAGAAAATTTTATCTTTAATTTTATTTGTTACTATTATATTGGCCTATAGAAAATGTCCGCCATCTTGGATTTTTCGGCAATATTAAATTATTTTGTTTAATTCTGTTTTGGTGTCTAATTTGTTTTTACCTGAACATGATTTGTGACAAATTTCAGGCTTTTACATTCCTTAAAAGTTTTATTTGCTATATCATCCATTTATGATAAAGAAATTTGGCGGCCATTTTAGTGGTCAATTTAAATGGCCATTTCAATGGTCAAGATCAAGTTTTTCAATTTGGTATCCACCTTTATCGGATTCAGCATACCTTAAATAGGTAAAATACACCAAGATACCACTTGTACTACAAAAAGCCTCTAGCATCTTATAGGGAGCCAAATTCTCAAAATCAGATCTGTCTATTACAAAAGATGGAAGGAAAATAAGTTGGCGTATTTGAGAATTAAAAAAAACAATATTATGAGACCGAAACAGGTTAAAAACTGAATAAAATGCTGAATTGTGCTTGGTTGCTATGGCAAACAAATAAATTAAATAATCGCCAAGTGTGTTCTTGTTTCTGATTAAACACAAAAACATGAACTTTAACCAACATTTTGATGAATTTCTGACACAGGGCAATTTTTTACTCTTGCTTAGCCTAGCCCTTTAGAATTTCCATTTACGGTTTATTATCCTTAATAAGTTCGAGGTATTTTTGTTCATGATAAACCCTGTATTACATAGCGAGTAGTACAGACCATGATGGAGATCTGGATGTGCCACCAACCAGAAACCTATTTCTAACCCTCCATTTCTCTTTTCTCACACAACAAAACAACCACATGGAAAAGCAACAAACTTTATCCTTACATTTCAAATCTTGTTAAATTCAGCAAATCTTAAAAGATGTATTCTTTATATAACCTACAAATATGATTATTTAACACAACAGACACTTTCTATAAAGACATATTGTTTTGGCGAAATAATTATCACATACATTATCATGACAAAATTACAGACATTTTCTAACTGAAACATGTGTACCAGTCTGTAAATATATTGTATTAAGTTATAGCAATGTAGAAGAAGTAAGCGATAAATCATTTTTTCCATTTTTTTATCTTCTCGGTTTATGGTTCATTAAATATTATCTTCCGAACGTATGAAACATATTTAAGTGTAAATTCAAACAAAAGTTTGTTTGTAATGTTACTTTTTGATATCATTTTGATATTCTCATGAAATATAACTTGAAAAGAAATGATAAAGTTAAAAACGATTCAGTATGAACATTTATATGACGTTTAATAACATTGTGATCTTGAACAATTTATTATCTGCTCTATTAAGGTACGTGTGGTAGATATGCATTTGTCCGTATAGCAATGGGGGAAATTTTAGACTTGATTTTGTGCATTCCTTTTTGTTTTAACAAAATTACATTGTTTTCAAATTTTCTAAGAAAAAAAAGCTATTCTGATGTACAACATGTCACAGAGCTTTAATGGCTTAAAATAAACGTTTAACTGAAGTGATAGTGCCATGTTTGAATATCATATTCTTTTTATAATAACATGTATTTTGTTTTGTTTTTGTTTTTACACAATGTTTTTTTATGATGTTTAGACTTATAATCTAAACACAATACTAATACGTCAAATATATATGACCTCTTTTGTCGAAGAACTACATTTTTGTGGCGTAAACCGGAAGTGCTTTCTTATAAGTTTCGTGACTTCCTTTTGAAACAGTTTCAGATTTCAGGTATTCTTTCAAATTACAATAACATTTACATTCATTCAAATGATAAATGGTTGCCGATTATTCTATCGAGAAAAAAGTTATGTAAATGTGATCAGGAGCAGAAGACACGCGACTAGAAGTTTTGATGCGCGGGTTTTTGGTGCACGTGACGGACCTGGTGTTGGCGGTGGTGTTGGCGGATGTGTCGTTGGCGGATGTGTCGTTGGCGGATCTGTCGTTGGCAGATCTGTCGTTGGCGGTGATGTTGGCGGTGGAGTTGGAGAACCTAAAATAAACACACAAATCATAACACTTAACACAGAAAGAAAACTTTGAATATGTTAAAGTAATAAAAGTAGCGTCTCCATCTCCATTTGCGCCGCGTCATAACAAAACCAACATAGTGTGTTTGCGACCAGCATGGATTCAGACCAGCCTGCGCATCTGATCAGGATCCATGCTGTTCGCTTACCAACTCTATTACAAGTAGAGAATCTGATAGCGAACAGCATGGATCCTGATCAGACTGCGCGGATGCTCAGGCTGGTCTGGATCTATGCTGGTCGCAAACCCACTATGTTAGTTTTGTCGTGACGCGGCTCATTTGTCATTACTGTTTACATCATTACAATTAATACACCATTTATTCTTTTTTTATTATATTTTTTTTTTGTCATACAGATTAGTTGTTTGAATATTAATAGAAGCTTTTGATAATTTAAGGAATAGCAACATAACCAGAATAAATAGAAATGACCTAAAGATTTGTGAGTTAAAGAAATCATTTTCGCAACGCACTTTCGGCCAGCCGCCTTTCAAGGAGTAATTTGCATCCCAAAATAACATAATTATCTAGAGCTACATCATCGCAATTGATATTTTACACACTGCTTTTAATAGATGCCAGTTTACTTCGAATCTGCTCACTCTGCGTGGAAAGAATGACTTCTAGCTTATACACTACACTACACTTAACAAATCTTATAAGTGTGCACCTTTTATGTCCTTATACTGTGCCGCTATGATAATGTGAGAGTGACGTTGCATTTTTTGTGTACACAAAAGTTTACAATCTTTGTCTTAATAGGTAAAACAGGGTATTTAGAAGTGAATATGATTCAAAATCAGAAATAGAATTTGAAAAGTCTCGATGGCAAAGTTGGTTAAGTCACTAGGATGCCATACAAATTAAATTGTATCACGAGTACGAGCACAAGCTGTCAAACCTTTTTTTTTCTTTTTCTTTCCCTATTTTTATTTTTACATGAGATGCAAATTAATTGGAATATAAAGGCAGTTTTGTTATAATTTCGAATAATTTATATATACCGAAAATAATAATTTTTATTCTGTGTAGTGTGTAATATATATTAGTAGTACTTTTGCAGAGCATAAGTTTTTCGTGCTTGTGGTATTTTTAGTTTCAACTTTTCGGCATTTTCTAGTTGGGTGGTTCCAATATTCCTACTTGATTAATGTTGAATCACACTTAGGATATGTTGCCTGCTTTTTAAATTTGACTTTTGACGTCTTATCTGTGATACGCAGGCTTCATAACCTCTGATCCCGTTTCAAAATTCCATTTTATTTAGTTCCACCCATTGTTTTCTCGTTTAGGGCACACGCTTTTTATGACTTGGGGACCATACGCCGCTTTTCATGGAATGGCACGGCAGTGTCACATTGAAGGTTCCATGATAACCGCCGTATGAACACATCTGCGGATGTTACTAAATTCAAATTTTTACTATTTCATGTTTAAATGTTGACTTCTGCTTAAGCCGGTGCTAGGGAGCGTGGATGGTAACTTGCACTTTCCAGTACCGTCCATGAACAGGCTCAATCAAACTGAGCCTGCAACATTTTCAATTTTGCCGTGTTGGGCTTTCTTTAGGGATTCTGTATTTATCTATTTTAACTATAGTTGAAACAATTTATGTACATGTGAGCATTCCGTATCAGGTTGCACCAACTTGCTAGATATAGCAACATTTAAAAACAAAAGTGAAATGAGAAATTAATAGAAAATAACACACCGCTAATAATCTTTACAAGAAAAAAAGAAATTCTTAATCGATTGATAATTATACACAAAAAAAATTGGGACCGAACCTGGCTGTCTTGCATTGATCTGTAACTAAAACTTTACCACACAACTTTACCTACTGCGTTACGCCGACAGTTGGTAAATTTGTCGATATTCTAATTTATATGGCAAGCCTGCTTCACTTAAGATATTAAACACAATATGATAACTGTTATACACCGTTAAAGTGGACATGACCACCGCGTCACTAAATAATTATCCTAAAAGCACAGTAACTTTTTTGTTCATCAATATTTCTTTACAAAATTTTGTGTTCTGACTATTGGCTGCATTTCCACACTTTTCCCGTGCTCAAACTTGTCAAATTTAATTATTCGGCGCGTTCAACCATGAACGTACAAAATTCACACAATGCGCGAAAAAATTGTGTGAATGCGTGAAAGAAAATTGCACATGATATTTTCGAATACAACAGAGATTCACATATCAGAAAAAACATAACATACGGGTACATTATCTATTCAACAGCGTGGCATAGCCCTAGGATTGGTCTACGCTGGAGTACACCAAGCAGAGATTGGTAAAAATAATTTGTTTATATAATTATTTAAACTCCATTGCATTGTAAAAGCTCACATTTTTTAGAAATACATCTTAAAATTTATATTGAATGAAAAAAGAAAACGTATAAAAACAATAGCCTGTCTCTTTTCTGTATTTATTGAAAATTTCAGCATGATCGGGCAAATATTGGTCACCATATGAGACCATTTATCCATGCACACTTATAAGATTTGTTAAGTGTACATTGGTATGCAACTAAAATCTATACCTCTTTAAAAACTTAACGAAAGGGCTGCGATTTTATTTCTTATTTACTAAATATTTTAGTAAAACGTTCATAAACCTTTAATAGATAAATTTAATAACAAATATTTAATTTATTTAACTTACCAGTGGTGAATGTAACCGTATTAGAGGGAGCCGCGGCGTTGCCTTTACTGTTACTTGATTTAACGTCCATGCTATAAGTTGAGCTTTGTTGCAGATTATTTAATGTATAATTTACACGATTTAAACTGTGATCCTTCAGTGTAACCGTGTCAATTTCTGTTGAATGTAAAAAAGAAAGAAAAACAGGCAATCGTTTACTTGAATTCCAGGAAATATTATTAGTCTCGAAGACATTGCGGGACGAATCGAAATAAAGTGACATTGGAACGGTTTCTTTTGGTTTCATGTTCAGAAGTATTCGAGACTATTCCGGATAATTATCAGGGTATAAAGCTATATCTTATGAAATTATTTTATCAAATTTATCAACAATAAATGTTTATTGTTTGGATAATCATACGGTTGATCCTCCAAAGAATTGTAACATAAACTGTCTCTATCATTTAACATACATGTACATAGATACTAGTACTATAGTAAATAGAATAAAATGTTCACCGTACATACAGGTATTTTGGTAGCATTTTTTTTTCAAAATTTAATAATTTTTGAAGTAGATACAGTTAATTTTGAAATACCAGTGTCGGTATAATGATGATATACAATATAATTGTACTTTTCTTGAAATACCACGCATTTACATTTACAAAAAACTTCAAATTTCTCAGATGTGCCAGCAATAAGTGACATTGACGCTGTTATTAAGGATTGCGAACTTTCAAGTAGCGCCTTGAAAATTGGCATGTAAGAAGTTGACCATATTTCAGATTAGATTCCTTGGATTCTATTCCAATATTTCAGCCATTTTTGCACGCATGTCGTCATGATATTACTTTACTAGATAACTGTAGACATAGCTGTTGAAATTTCCTTTTTCCAAGAGTTACATGATACTAGTTAAACGGTTTTTTTATAATTATATTTTAGATGGAGATCTTACCTTGTCCTGAACTTTGCACTGTAAAAGTTTGTATGTTGTCATAGTCAAAACCTGGTTGCCATGACAAGGTAGCACTATTGAGAGTAATGTCCCCTACTTGCAGATCTGTAGCACTGTCAGGTGGTCCTGCAGGTGAAAATTGTTTAAAGTTACATTATACATGTACACTTGTAAGCTGCATATATGCAAAGTTATCTATTTATGATTGATTTGCATATTTTGAGTCGACCCCTAATTAATCTTAGTAACTATGAGTCGCCAAAACACAATTAGAATTAAGTAACTTTGAGATTACCCGTACTGTTCCTATAATATTAATACATACCGTCAGCTTCTATGAAATACACGACAGTATTTTCTCCAGCAGAATTACTCATTGTAAGTGAATAATTTCCAAAGTCTTCAACCTTGACCCCTTGGACGTCAACAGTTGACGTATACCCATCATCCACGTGCTGTACTGGAGCCCCACTATGCGTCCACACAAATGTCGGGGCCGGATAACCAGTCGCAAACATTTCCATCTTCAAAAACTCCCCGACTCTCGGCGTTTGTGTGTAAATGATAGTTTGTCCAGGGTCAGGTCTTGGAATACCTTAGATACATGAATTCAATAAGTTTTTTTAATTCTATTTATAGACAAATGTTCCGATTTTATAAATTCCATACCATTTAAAGTAAATTTAAAGTAAATAAATTCAAAATATACTAAATTACGTGCATAAGCATTAAAAATAACAAAGTTGTTGAGTTATGATGAATTATTTGATCTTCTTATTAATTTATCAGTCACACAGATCTGCCATGAAAAAAATATGTTAAAATGGGCGTGGTCTTAAATGAGATGAGGTATTCCAGATAGATAACAATAATCGGTGGTTTCTTTACAGGTTCGTGCTTCCAAAAGAAGCATTGTTCTAACCTTTGTAAAGTGCTGGTACAATAAAACCCCAATTCTGAAGACCGCTACCTAATCCAACCCTTAGGCAAAGGGATAAAGTGAATAGAAATGAAATAAACGAATTAAAAGAAAAAATAATAGATAATTATCTATTATGGAACAAAGGTCAAGGTTCATTTTTATATAACACTGCAATCTTCGGCAATATTTTGAGAATATACGATTTTAAATATAAGATTGGTTGACCTACATTTGAACTTACATAAAACTGTTAAATTTAGGTAAATTTCGTCATAGTTCAACAAATTTGAACACGTAAGTAGATACGTATCCATGCTACTGCATTTGACTTTAAACGTCGCGTTAAATGTGCCCAGTTCATTTGAATGGAACGCAACGGCGCCGTTACTTTTCTGTGTGAGACGTATTTCCGGTTTAGGGTTCCCTTCAACTGTTAATTTGGCAGAAAATGTCTCATTTTCTTTTAATGTGTCCTGATAGCTGTGGCTTAGAATCTTAGCCGGATCTGAAATTCACAACAACATTATTTTATGAAAGACACTTTAGATATGCCAAACTTTTTCCAAACTTATTTAGAGACTGTTTTCATAAAAAGGGGTTTTCATAAGAATAAATAAAGGCTGAAACCGGTAAACTATATTTAAATTCCGATCCACGATTTAGATTTTAGTATTAATATGTCATTTTTAAAACTGTAATCGCTTTGCTGAGTTTTAGCACAGATTCTGAAAAATGAAATTCGGTTAAAAAATACTATATATATTTTAGGCGGCTAGTAAGCTTTTTATCAAAGACCTTTTTTATCTTTTGCAATAATTGTTGTTGTTGTTGTTGTTGTTAAAAGGTATTAGTTGTTGTTTTTAAAATGTATTATTTTCTTGGAGAAATCTTGACTGCCAAAATTCTCGTTTACATTACGTGTGTTGGAGCATACAGAAGGAAAATATTTAGTGGCGTTTAACCTATAACGTTAATATACTTACAAATTACGTCAACATACGCTGCAAATATCTGTTTCGTGCTATTTTTAGAATGGTCAATATCAAAGCACTCGTAGTACTGGGACTTATCCCGGGTTATCTTAGTGATATTTAAAATTGGCCCATCGTAATGATATTGCAAGTTTGAGTTCTCCCAGTATACTGACCCGCCAGGTGACCTCTCGCCATCACAAAATACAAACAAATCATTGCCTTCCAAAACCGATTGCTTGATGCTTTGGGCTAAAAATTTAATAAAAATTAATAAATGGTTTAATTATAAAGGTAGATAGACAGCTTCTAAATTAAAGGCACATTATGCCTTAGAAATCCATATTTTTATTCTTTTCTTAATTTTCAAATATGTGTTTAATCATGTTTTAATAAAGGATTTAGATATTATAAGATGTGTTGCAAATGTGGCAAAAAGTAAACAAAGTAGTATTTGAACTTCCATACAAAATTTAGTATGATTATGGCCATTGCAAACAGAGCAAAAGAAGTAAAAGATGGTCCATGACAAAAAGGGTATTTTTTGTAAACTGTAACAAGATACCAAAAATTGGACTTTTTGATAGCATTTCTGACTCAGAGGCATTATAAACCTTTAACGAATGTGTATAGAGGAATAAAACGGGTGGCAAAACTTAATAATCAATTCACTGTCAAAGCATTCAACAATCTCAAATACATGTACATGTACTATTTTGTAACTGTTTAGAGTTGTAAAAGAAATCAATTACTGATATGTCGAATTCCAAATCAATTACCAGACGACTTTGATATAGCAATGTTCGAGATATCAGATTTCATTGTTTTCCTTAAGACTCGATATCTATGATTGAAATTCAAAATCTCTCATTGTGGAATTCATCTCGATCAATTGCATTTCAAGCCAGCCACCACCGCATTTTTAATAGGTAACGCGACAAGACATGGTACACAATATAACATTATATTTACATATCATAACGTAATATTAACATTACAAAAATGACATAACATAAATTAATACATTATTGGCATTAAATAACATATAGTAACGTTTTACATTGTATTAAAAAGGAAGATATAATTTACATAATATTAACAAAAAATAATGTTAACATAACAATATTTACATAACATAATATTAGCAAAAAATAATATTAACATAACAATATTAACATAACATAATATCAACATGACTTACATGTATTATTAACAAAACGTAAAACTTACGTTACATAATATTTACATAACATAATATTGACATAGAATAATATTAACATGACGTAATATTGACATAAAATGATATACGATAACGTATCGTTACGCGTCAAACCATTTTTTTACAAGATTTAAATTACATTGACAACGTTCAGAGGAGAATTTTACTACCTGCAAAACCCATGACCCCCGGGACGGGCTATTTTTAACCGCAGGGTAAAATTGTTGCCCAACTAATGTTTTATGCCAAATTACTAAGCTTTAGCCTCTGTGGCCTTTGAGGAGAGGTTTTTCTACATAATTGTCAGAAAAGCCCATGACCCCCAGAGCGGGGTCAATTTTGATTTGGCTAATACCTTGGTTGCAGTCCACTAGAAAATGCTTCATGACAAATATCTAAGGTGTTTTACTATGTATATATATAGTAAAATATCTGAGATCTAGTCGCTGTGGGTTTACCGCCCGTTGTGTTCCGGTGAGCTAAAACTATTTGTAGAATTTGCTACCCTTTATTACTTTAAACAGGTTGTGTGGTATTTAAAGGTAACATTACCTGCACGGTAAATATTACATGCACCGTAGTTAACCGACATTGTAACAATGGACGAACACATTTTCAATGGAAAAGTCTCCCAGCTATGACACGAAGACGAATCATCGCATAAATTATTATTTGTGCATGTACAACACATAATTGTTTTAGTAAATTACTTACCGCTTGCTGAAATAAATACGGTTGTTAAAAAAGCAATTTCCACTTGCATTATTAAATAAGATAATCACAATAGTTATAATATTGGTAATATAAACATGTTTCCGAATAAACTCCGAAATCTAATCACAAATCTACGCATATCTATATCTATTTTGCTTTTCATATACTGGTCATATAAGAAAACGGGACAAGCAATTAATATAGATATATAACAATGAACTGTCTAACACGATAACGACACTCGTAATCGAGTCCAAATATATCCCGTATTGTACAGAACAATGTTAAACAACATATTCATTCTCATCTCTCATCTCCAAATCATAATGAGAAAACGCAAAATGTTACTAGATTAAACATTGTAATAAAAAACCTATATTTGCCATATTTGTTAGTGTATTTTCATGTTTTTTAAACCTTCATATATTCTGGTACCCTGCCTATTATGCTGCAATTGCCTAGTAACAGGGACTAAACTCTATCACAACTATCATTCCATACGGAGCACCTCGTCGATTATTCAAAATCATCTCGGAACTAAAACGGATTTGGAAGTAGTTATACCATGTGATGTTTGATTTGATATAGAATGTATAATCTTTAAATAATGAGTAACGATATCTATAATTTTTATTCGACATACAATGGAAAATAAAGTCTATTTCGGTAATTTATCATTAAAACAATATATGTCAGAATCAATTTAGGAATAACCATTGGCATACATTTATAACCAAATACGATATGTCATAAACAGATACATATTTTGTATTATACATAAGAATTAGTATGAAAATACTTTTTACTATAAAACTATGAATTAAAAACTATGAATTAACTTACTTTTACTTAATTTTTACACATTATAATCACGGAAACCCCAGCATTTTACATACAATTTGTTTAAATGTTTACATTTGGTACTGTAGAATTCGTACGACTGTGCTCGAGATAGTTATCCAAAGAGTGACGGAAAGGGCCGAAAAGATACAACTGGCAGATATGTTAACAACGTAATGTTGTGTCTTTCATTGGAGTATCGGCGTGACGTCAACTGTTAACACAAACGTGGCGTAATGACGTGACGTCTTTTAATGTTAACGGTAGTCAATTCTCTACAAATGCGTAACTTTAGTATTTCAAATTTTCAACATACACAGTTTCGTAATCAAATTCGTGAAGAATATTTTGTCATGGTATCAGGTGACGTATATAATCTACATAAACATTGATAGTTATACAAACAACTAGTAGTTCACTTTCATTTTCGGAAAATAGAAGATAATTAAGTTTATTCAAAATCAGTGAATGTGTTAATAAGACAATTATGGTTAAAAAGACAAATATGGTCACAGTTTTGTAGCGTCTTGTAAAACATGTTTCAAGGAGGAGTTTTAAGATTCATTATCTATATTTGCATCGTGTACAATACAAACTGCTTAAAAGATAAAGGTATGTTCCCTTTATTTAAACATTTAATAGTTTAACTTCATTTATATAATTCAGTATTGTATAATAAGATGTATGCGTGACATATGTAAACATGTACATGTATTTTCTAGCTATGTTTACGGTGGACAGCGTATTTATTGTGGTACAAATCGCACCGTATTACCGGCGCCAGTTATGTCAGATTGCTGAAAAAAGTATTCAATTTTCAAATAGTTTTTTGCCAAATTACTTTTACCTTACATTTTCGTCAAATTAGAACATCTAAATTATATTTTGTTCTGAACTCTATTTCGCACACCATGAATTCTACATGGATAAAAAGACATTAATGAAAATGGAAAGTAAAAAACATGATTTAGCAACTTTTATTTTAAATAGTCCTACGGTTTATGAAGTCCTAATTAGAAGTTAGTTCTACTAACTAGGTCTTTCTAAACAAAGTTCTAATCAAAAGTATTAAATGTCATAATAGAATAAAGAGTGTATGAATTTCTTAATCAAATTTTATTATGTTTTGCACTGATGAAGGCATATAGCCGAAACGTATGCAATAAATAATTACTGTCTGTCTATTTATTTTAATCATATTAAGGAATTTATAAACTCCTACTTATACATTAGTTTCCTAATTAATAGATATAAATTTGTTCTATGAAAAACATAATTTCTAATTAGAAGTTATAAAAGCCTTTGTAACTTCTAATAAATAGCGATAAATAAATTAGTTAAAAAGACGTATTAAGAGAAATTGGGATTTTTAACTTCTTATTACTAAGGAGAAAAAAGCCTAACGAGAAAACAGACTTGTTATTTCTTATTAGGAGAAATAAAATTCTAATGAGCAAAAGCTAATAAGTAGTTACATAGATCAAATTAGGATTTTTTATCTTTTAGTTTCTAATTAGGAATTACAAAAGCGTACTCCCTAATCATGACTTAAAGTACTTAATTTGATAAAGTGTAAATTAAAATTATATTTCTCAAATTCTAATTAGGAGGTACAAAGTCCTAATTTTAATTCTATTTAATTTATCCTAATTACGCTTTTAAATCTTATTATGAGTTGCAAAGTCAACGTTGAAATAATGTGTTTTCCCTTATAGTTGTTACTAGGAGTAACAAAGTTCTATTTAATAACAAAGTCCTAATTAGACTTTTAAAACTCCTAATTAAAAGTAACAAACAGACTGACGGAATTCAGATTTTTCCATAGAAATACTAAAACATTTATGAAAACGCTGTCATTTTTTAGAGATTTTCGACCGTGCGACCACATACACGCATCGAGGACATGTTGGTATGAAAATGACCGTGCGACCTCACACACGCATCACAGGATTCCCTTTCTCGTACGAGAAAGGGACAAAGAATTGTCCGACCCTTTATCAAAGAGCAGACTTAAAAAAAAACATGCCGTTTCCTTATTGTTATTCATAAGGAGGCTAATATCCACATATATGTCTTGAATTAATATATATACAACTATAGTTATGCAAACCAAATGGGTATCAGTTTTCGTCATTTTAAGCTCGTTATAAAGAAATTTAAGCCAGCGTATATAATTTCTTGGAAAATCTTGAGTTGTTCTTTTTCTCTTCTTTTTATTTTATGTATATTAAAGAATTATTTTATTTCTGCAAAACATGAACGTTTCCGAAACGTTTTATATGCGTTAATGGGGGAGATAATTTTCACGCTTTGTCCGCAATATTATTGGTGGGGGACAAATTACGTTGAATTTGTATACTCGACTTGTAATACTTGTAATAAAAAAAGATTAAGTGATGGGCTGCAAGAAAAAATAGATTAAACTTGAGCAGATGACAGTGCTGGCACTGGTAAAAATATATACTAAAATCCTACCCTGCAGAATTTGTGAAATTGACTTTTCAAGCTTACAATTTTTGGATCTGTCCATTATCAGCTAACAGTACATAACCTGACTGCACGGATGTTCACCAAGGCTCGGCTCTATACTGGTTAAATTATTTCGGTTCCAACAGGGTAAAGCTGCAGTGTTGTTTACAGTTGTCATATTTACACACTTACATTTGATCAAACGCGTCGGACAAGTAATCTAAGTATTGCTGGCTGGCTTGGTTCAGGTCCCGTCAGGGGCAATTCGTGGTTACCTTGAGCAAGAAACTTCATACACATGTTACGAAATACCCCACCGTATATTTCAGTTTTCGCTTAAAATATTTCTGTAATCGTATATTAAAGGGACTCCATTGAGTTTTTTTTTTTGACATGATGGGAATGAAAATATTTTTACAGATAAATGTTCCATTTGATGTAGGTTTAGACCACTAATCTTTGTGCAAAATTTTAATTCATTCGCGCACTTCGTTTTTCCAGAATAATTATTCAAATTGTAAAAAAATGACCAAAATTATAAATCGTTTAAACGCTTTTCACTCAAATCTGGCAAAGAAACGCATAAAAATACGATTTTGCAATTTATTTCAAAGTATATGTCTTAACTATCTTTGTATATATTTCTGTTTAAAGAGTCCCAACTCATTTATGTAAGAATTCAAATGTTATGTTCTAGGCTTTTAAACCTCAGTGGAGCCCTTTTAACCTCATTCAAAGTTTAAACAAATTCGAGTATACTATTTCAATATGCTGACACATGTATGTCAAACTGTAGCTTTCATTTGTAATATTTTTAATAAGTGCGTCGAAGAAACACTTTCAATACATGAGAATATTCACTATATACCTATGCCTACGAACACAACAGTAAGAAACATAATTACAGACCAGGCTTATTAACAAACATTGGAAAATTCATGAGAATTGCTATATATTTATAGCCGTAGTAAATCTTGTTTTGTCCAGTAACTGTGTTTTCAATTAAACGCTTTCTCGATGCACCTAACGCATTAATTAATATATTTTCTGTCATGAGAAAACTATACATGTAACAATTAATAGTTTAAAGTCTAGATAGTGAATAAAGATACAATAATGAAATTAATTATAGATTGATCTTGATTTTCTGTCAGAATGTTAGCCACCTTCAGTGCGCTTCTGTCATCATCGGCAGCCTCGTTCGTTAAAAGCTTAAATTCCAATGTCCTTCAGAATGTCCTGTCTGCTGTCCTGCCAGCAGAACATCAAGTAAATTTTGAATGTCTTAATAAATTTCCTGGCAAGTGTCGTGCCAGCAGAACATTGTGTAAAATTTCCTGTCTATTGTCGTGTCAGGCAGACGTTGACAATTCAAAAACACTAAGATGAAAAGAAAGAAAGAAAGAAATGCGAGAATGATATGTCTAAACAGCGATGGCCCTAATAAAATTCTACCTATTGACATCTTTTTTTCAGATCAGGAAACTGTGCAAATTATTGAAGGGGGCTATATTGATATACTCTGTGACAGTACCGGGTACCAGGGAGATCAGATTTACTGGGAAAGTGATAATAGATTATTTCATGTTGACGGGAACCAGCTGTCTTTAAAAGCAATCACACGGAACCAGTCCGGATCATACGGATGTTATTCACAGACTGGGGAACGTTCTGATGTTATAGAAAAGATTTTTCTTGATGTTCTTTGTAAGTAAGGTGAAAAGTTCGTGCCGTATTCCATTTTTCATCTTCGTTCTGTTGTTGTTGTTGTTGTTGTTGTTGTTGTTGTATTTTCGCCTATATTTTAGACCAATCGAGAACATGTGATCAATGAATCACTACAAGACACCAATGATAACGATCGAATTTCTCTTAACCATATACTTATAGACTTCATGTATTTTCAAACCCATTGAGGGGTTGCCTTTAAGGATTGAGGCATCAGAACTGTAGTCACCGTTTATCTCTGAGTGATCGCAGGAGGCGACTAAATGGGTTCGATTTACTGGAGTCTATACATCTCTTAGCTCCAGCTGGTATGGGGTGGTTCTGACCCCTGGTGTTGCTTAAATTTAAGTTTGTTACACCCGAGGCAAAATATCTTTCCTATTTCGGCGCCATATGACCTAAATTGTATCGGTGCGCTGTAAAAACAAACAAAACAAGTCACGTATGTTCATTCAGGCAAATATAAATGCAATATGGTTCTTTTCACTTTTTTCCACATTTTTTTTCAGATCCTTCAAAGATATTAACCTGGGATTCCCCATACAGCAGACTGGTTCAGAATGACAGTTATGACATGGTGGTTTACATACAAGGGAATCCCCCGCCTGACCAAATACTTCTCATATCAAATCAAACAGGAAAAGTCTTGTTCCGAGATAAAGGCGATGGAAGAAGAAATATAACACTGAAGTCAGTGCAATGTGGAGATAGTGGAACGTATCATCTATACGCTGTAAATGACCTCGACACGGACGTGTTCACTAAGGACATAACAGTGTACTGTAATATGGAAGCATAAACCTGCCCTTTTAACTTGTGTCTTATGACTTGCGACTTATGACTTGTGACTTTTGACTTCTGATTTGTGACTTACCTGTTTGACATAAATCGGCGCGTTTTCGAATGAAATATGGCAGACGAAAACGCTTTATATTCTAGAACAATTTTCCCATTTAATTGAGTCGTTTTATAACACAGTCTCTTTATCATCTGGATTAGCTGCAATTTAAAGGCTGCTGAGCATCTCGTATTGTCGACAGTTGTCCTGACTTATTCAAAATGTAAGTGTTATACAAACCTCTCTCACGTGTAGATTCTCTTAAAATTTATTGTTTTAATGACGGTTGTGGAAGCTGTTCATATCCTGTAAATTATAGTATCTGATAAATTCGAGGGTTGATGGATTTTTTAATTTTAAAATATATATTCACATTAATCTATTTGCTAGCTAGCGCATAGTGTCGCTCAGGGTAGCAGGCTGACTGAGTGGTTCACACAATTGACTTATGATAGGAGGATTTGCTGGCAGTCTAGGTTTTAATCCTGCTAGGTTTGTGCTAGCTGGTGCTTCACTGGGCAAAAAAACTAAACAACCATTGCTGAAGTTCCTATAAGAGATTCTAGAGAGTGTCTGTAAGCTCCAACCTTTCTGCACTATCATACTAAAATAAATTATGTTATGTATTATCCAAAGCAAACCCTTGACATGCGAGTTAAAGATTGAAAAAAAAAACAAAAAAAACACGAACAATTCATGCTAGATTTTTCTTTATACTATGCTAGAACATATAATACCAGATATATTGTTGTTATTTGCACTTATCATCCTAACTGTTAACACTATTTTTCATATACTTTACAGATACTGACAGATACTGATATAGATGAACAGAAATAAAATGAAGATTGGGCTCATAATATCAATGATTTTGGCACTTTTTTATGTGGTGATGTGTGTTGTACCAACCTATTTGCCAAAGCAAACTTTGAAACAGATGTCCGAACTTATTATTGAATATTACAAACTTGGTTTTTCGAATACACCGAGATTCTAGGATTTTTATTAAATAGACATAAAATTTTGTTGTCAATGCGGCAATTATATAGATTCCTAAAGAAGTTTAACATAAAACGTCGGGGATTACAACCCCACAGTTATTAATACCATTCACAAAGAGCTGAATACTTGTGGACAAACTATGGGTTATAGGTTTTTGTGGCAACGGCTTCAAATTAATCATAATGTAAAGACAACTCATCAGGAAGTTATGGAGGTAATGAAGATTTTAGATCCTGAGGGCACTCATCTGATCTGAGAAGAACCTATCGTCTCAAAAGGCGTGTTTATTGTGCGAAAGGTCCCAACTATATTTGGCATTTAGATGGTTATTGCAAGTTAAAACCCTTTGGATTTTGTATCCATGGTATTATTGATAGATTAAGTAGAAGACTGATCTGGCTAGAGGTATCGGATACAAACAATAATCCATACCTCATTCCAAAGTATTTTTTTAAATTCCCTGAAGTCAATTGAAAAGACACTCGTATCATACGTTGTGATGCTAGAACAGAAAACTCTGATGTATACCTTTTACAACAGGTCTTTCGGTACAATGCAATTGACGCTTTTGCAAAACACAGAAGTGTTATAATTGGTAAAAGTACTTCCAATCAGCGAGTTGAACGTTGGTTAGGCTCTTTACGACAAAAAGATTTACAGTGGTGGCTCATCTTTTTTAAAGACTTGCGTGATTCTTGACAATATGATAAACTCGACCCAGTCCACTCTGTTAATCTGAAGTTTTGCTTCATGGATCTAATTCAAACACACCTTGATCGAATTGCTCAAAACTGGAATACTCACGCTATTAGACCCCAAAAGAATAACGAGCTCAATATGGAAAACCTGACGTAATGTTCTATTTACCCGAACTATTTGATAGTCTAGATTTCAGTACAAAAGTTGATATACAAGACGTAATTTGTTGTCAACGGATGTATTCAATTTCGAAGAACAGAAATAAAGACTTTAAAGAATTGGCTAAACTCTTGAAACCGGATTTACAAATGGCACATGACGCTGAAACGGCATTGCAATTGTTTTTCGAGCTCAATAAATTGGTATGGTTAACATACAACCTGCTACTAAAACGTCAATGCAACACGACTAAACAGCTGTAAATATATAAATAGCTACTACAAATGTATGTAATTATGTCTCCACAACACTGTCAAACTGGGTTGAAATAGTTCGTCACCGCTTTGTTCTTTGGATGAAGGATTTTGAAATAATTTAGCACAAATGTTCACCATCATAAGATGTGTCCCAGTATAAGACACATTTCCGCACTGAAGGTCAAAGTCACACTTAGAGGTTAAACGTCTACTTCTATATGAATGAGTGGGTTTTGAAATAACTTGGCACAAATGTCCACCATCACGAGACGAGGTGTCGCTATATACAGCCGCAACCCTGAGTTGAAGGTCAAGGTCACTTGGACAGATTATAACTAATCTGTTATATATTCTTTCTTATTTAAGCCAAAGCCTTGATGTTTTGACAAAATTTCATTTGGACAAAAGCAGCCTTCGTCTGAAATGTCAACATTTGGTGTTGACCCATACTTGACATTGACCTTTATTATTAAAGGTTAGAGATGTGTCTGCATACCGGGTACATCTTCTTACGATGGTGAACGTTTGTGCCAAATTATTTCAAAATCCATCCATCTAATGTACATAGATGATACTACTGAACCTATTCCGGTAACTACCGCTATATCGCACTCAGTGGTGCCGCAGATAACTGCACCGAGCGGTCTGCCATCCAGTGGAGAAACCGGTACTCCTACAAGGCTAGGAAGATAAACAGAGACAGCCTTTTTCTGTGGAACATTAATAGACTATCCTCATTGATAATCGACAGTGGTTTCTTTTCTTTTTTGATCAATTATGATATCATTCTTATGTTGATATATACAACTTTTGTTAATGTCCGCACCTCAAATTCAATAAAATGGCTAAACGTCATAGTAGTAGCGTACTTATATATACACTTGTACATGTATTCGCAATAAATATTTCAATCATGACAATAATGAGCTTGGTGTTTTGGATTAATCACAAGAAACTCAAAACTGGAACAGTCAATGACATTTGTGTTTTGCATATAAAAATACGAGAATTGCAGATATGGCTTATTCCGAGGGATCACTTTGTTTCGAGATTTTTATTACCATGGCGCGCCCACGTATGCTGTTGTAAGATTGTTGATGTAATCTATTTAAAAATATATACATGTAATTGGAAATTCATCAATCAATGTGTCCGACCAAATTTGACAGACAAGTCCCAATCCAAACAACATATATCATTTCTAGTTTACCTTACAACATGACGATGACTTTAGGTCAACTGACAAGTTTAATTATAAGTGTATGTCAAGAACAAAGTTCGCCCGTGCCTGCTACTGTTTCATTAGCAAAAGTACAAAGTATCCGAGTCTCTTTAAATTGTTTTCAAACAGATAACATCAACAATATTCAAACTGCAGAGGATGATGCAACATGGTAAGTAATGCCTGCCACACATATTTTAAAGTAACAAAGTCAATGGTGAGTGTCACAGTACCGAACCAAAGTGTGTATATATATATATATTAGAAAGTTTGAATGCTTAAGATCAAAGCACTTAGATTATATGACCATTTAAAGTCTTTGCACTCATGTGGTCATGGTTACCACAATGTGACCTTTTGACCATTAACAGAATAATGGATGTGGTATGTAGAACTCATGAAGGTGCATTTACATATAAAGTTTGAAGGTCCAATGTCAATGGGTCAATGTCACACTTAGAGGTCAAAGGTCACATTGTGATGTAACGTTTCGTGTCTCGAATATAAGTCATTCGCTGATGATTGGATTTTCATATAACCTTGCAAAAATGTTCACTTCTATCACACAGATTCCTCGCTTCAAGGTCAATGTCACACTTAGGGGTCAAAGGTCACATTTTTGTAAAACATTTTGTTTAATGAGTAAATGATGATGGGATGTTCAAATAGCCTAGCCAAATTTCCAATATAAATAGAAATTGTGCTGCACGCCCAGGTCCCTCTTTCTATGGCAAAGGTCTCAGAGGCTAATTCATGAATTGTCAAATTGTGGTGCATTTTTGTGTCATGTTGGCTCGGCATCATTGGCAGTAGTATGTCTCACATTGGCATGCAACTTCCTCAATGAGGTACATGCAAAGGTGTTTTTGGTTGTGACCGTGACCTTTTACTACTCAAAGATTTCACTTTTATTTCTGAAACTGATTGTTTCATTTTCTTAAACTATAGAAGGAACACATAAACAAAGCAACATTGCCACATGACCTTTTTCTGGAAAACCAATAAAGATATTATAAAGATTTGTTTTGCACATTAAAGAATGATCTTTCTGTTGAAGACTACGTATTTTTTTCTTTCTTAAATCTTGCAGATAACCATTCGATTTTTTGCCCAGTATATAAACCATACCCACTACTGATATGTATTGCTGATATGCATCGTGCATTGATTTTCGCAACATTATATGGTTGTAAAGCAGGAAGATAAATGACTAGCAAATACAATAAAACTTTTTATAACATCTCATCCTCTAATAGTTTTCCAGAAAAAAGTCGAGTAACAACACTTTTCGAACTACCCTCGTTTTATTGGACCTTACAACGACCCATACAACTACACCTCCCTTCTTTCCAAAATAAGGACATATACCATTGTCTCTCCTCTTTACTAAGATTTTGCTGATATTTACTCTATTTCACTATCAACATAAAATCCAAAAAGTTATTCAATTATTATTAAACTACATACGATAATCAAACAATGACAAACAACAACGATAACAAATTGAATTACATAAGCTTATGTTACTACATGTAAAATAAATGTTGTTTTAAATAAGTTGTATGCAGTGTGTACGTTTGAAGAAAAAACTACACACCCAAAGCT